GTGTCTGGACCACATGTCTTTACCCAGTCTCAGAACTGTTGTGTGGTCTCCTCTGCATACATTAAGGAAGGCATGTCCGGGAGGCAGAAGCAAGAGGATCACAAGTTTAATTCCAGCTTGGGCAACCTCAGCAACTTAGCAAGATCCTGTCTCAAAATTTAAAAAGAAAAAGTGAAGGGCTGGGGAAATGGCTCACCGTGAAGGCATTGGATTCAGTCCCCAGTACTGTAAGTGCCTTGCCGCAGAGCCACACCCAAGCCCCTTTGGTCCGTGTCCGACTGAATGCTGGGACAGTGGCCTGGTGCTCCGGCCCTCCCTCCGAGGATCACTGTACAGCCCCTGGTAACAAGCAGGCCTGGATGCCTCCCTCCCTCTGGCTCCCTCCTCTGTCCCCTCAAGGGCCTGTGTGTCCCATTTACCCCGCTCCCCCCATGCCCCGTGCTCAGACCACCACGGCCGCGGCCCTCAATACACTGACCAGGTGCCAGGGCTCCATCTCGGCCACTTGTCATGTCGCTCTCAGAGCCTTCAGCACCTCTCTGCTCCGTGCCAAGGCCTATCTCACCTCTAAACATTGGTCAGCCTCCACATCGAGGTGTTGGGGGAAAGTCAGTGGGGATTTTGGATGCGGTTTCTTGGCTTTGCTCAGTTCTGGTTTCTTGTTTTGGCTTTTTTGTGGTGCTGGGACTCAAACTCAGGGCCTCACACATGCCAGACAGAGCCCTGGCACTGAGCCATACCCCCACCCCTTGATTCTGTTTTTCAATAGTGGATTGCTTCTAGGTGTAAGAGAATCACCACAAAATAAGATACATGCAGAAGTAAGTACATGAGCTGTCCTTGTAGGTTATTTTTCTTTTCCTTTATAACAAACATTAGACCTCATCGTGCTCAAGGCCTCAAGGAAGCCCACTAAGCTTATAACGTTTTTCCATGGCTGTATGTAGACTTCCTGTGCCCAGCACTGTCTGTTTAATGCTCATATACCCCTTTGCAGTTAAGAAAACTGAAGCACAAAGCTCCTAAGTGATACAATCAAGGTTCCAAGTACCAGGGGTAGGATTTGAACCCAAGACCTCTGGCTCCAGAATCCAGATCTTGACCACAGCAGTTCTAACACGGCATGCTGGGCACCTGAATTGGATTTTCATTATCATGACAGTTTATCGTTTCACAAAATCAAAGGGAGGAGTCTTGCTGTGCATCAGTAAAAACTACTTAGACAATTTGGGTTGGTTCCACTGACAGAGAAGTTGACTTTAAGAAATGTCAGGGCAGAGGGCTGAGCCAAGTCCTCCAGGAGTACTGTGGATGCCTGCCCATGGCAGCCTACTCTGTGAAACAACCAGACCCCAAGAGGGCATGGGGACTGGGACACCTTTCCGCATCTTTCAAGTCCACGGCCCACCCCTCCTGACAGACACCAGGCCTGAGGCTTCCATATGCTGGTGGGAGCTTTCTCTCCCACTTTAGAAAATCTGGTTTCTCACCTTCCAAAGGGAATGTGTGATTAATGGGAACCCTAAAGTGCCCGCAGTTCCCATGATAATTGCTTTCTAAAAAAAAAAAAAAAAAAAAAAAGTATAGCCACCTGCAGAACATAGTCGATTTCAGTCAATTTGGAAAGAATTTCTGGTGACTCAAGGCCAAAAAGAAGTTACCTGAAAATGGTCGCAACTGTGTCCCCCCTTATATTACTACATTTTTCATTTGTCGCAGAGCCAAAGAGTGACTTCCCATGCAGGTGCTGGTTCTGCAGGACTGAGCAGGCCCTGGGCCTCTGCCTTCCCAACAAGCACCAGTGTGATGCTGGCACTACAGACTGGAGACCCCACTTCGGGTTGGGCGAAGTTACAGGGTCACTCAGACCACTTTTGGGAGAGGTAGCAAGGTCCTGGAGGCAGGAAACCCTAAAACAACTTAGCAATTGTCATTACTGACCATTGTGTTAGCCCACTTTCTACCACTCTCAGCATAACTAAGAAAATCAGCTGAAGGGAGGAAAAGATTTATTTTGGCTCTTGGTTTCAGAGGTTTCAGTCCATGGTCAGCTGGTTCCATGGCTGTGGCCCTGAGATGCAGCAGAATATTGTGTCAGAAGGATGTAATGAAGCAAAACTCCTCACTTCACAGTTGCCAGGAAGCAGAAAGGAAGGGAAAGAGCTGGAGAGGAAGGACCAGGGCTGAGATACTGTCCACAAGGACGCCCCCTCACGGCCCACCCCCTTCACTAGGACCCAGCTCCGAAGTTTCCATTATTCCCCAATTATGATCTCACTAAGGCTTAATCTGCTGATGGAGTTAGAGCCCTTGTGACCCACTCACCTTTCCAAAGAGCATCAGCTCTGAACACTGCTGCAATGAGAACCCACCCCCAATGCATGAGGTTTGGGATGCTCCATAGCAGCAACTCATCTGCAGCCAGGAGAGACTGAAGTCAGACTGTATGATCACGCACCCATCAAGGGACCATTTTTCCTGATCATCTGCAAACTCTGAGCTTTGTTCCTGATCCTTTTGCATGATACCTCATAAGTGTAGATTAATTTGTGGGGTTGGACATCTCAAGGCGGACCTATGATAAAAGAACTGAATACTGGCCCCTGGTTTATCCATGGGTGATACATTGCAGGATTCCCAGTGCGTGCCTGAAGCCTCACATGTGTTTTATTCTTGCCATCCATCTTAGTAACCTCAACATCTAGGTTTTGTTTCTTTCATTATTGAGAGTTTTCCCCTTTTCAACTAAAAGAAGCACTCTACCACTTCTCTTTGGCACATCTGAATCACCAGCATCACTACTCTTGAGTTGCGACATCATGAAATAAAACACTGGTCACTTGAACACAAGTGCTGGGCACCACAAAAGTCACCCTGATAACCAAGATGGCTACTAAGGACGAATGGGTGGGTAACATATACAGCATGGATACGCTGGACAAATTCACTCCTCAGTGAGCAGAAGGACACGAGGCCACATCACACTGCCCTGACTGCCATGTGGCGTAAAGCTTAAGGAGTGTTTAGTCTCGAATTTTTCATTCACTTTATTTATATCATGATTGACTGCAGGTAACTGAAATGGTGGGAAACAAAACCACAAATAAAGGGGGACTGCTGTAGTTTTAAATACTCTCATACATATTGTATCACTAAATTAGAAGAAGTAATGAAAAGAAAACCCACAAGTAACATGTGACACCTGCCATATTGGCAAACTCAGTGATGTGAAGCCATCATGCTTCTTGACATGAGGTCTCCGACTTCGTCTAAAAGTGACATAGCTACCATATTTTCGTCTCTGACACCTGTCTGCCCCACACTTTCAAGCACTGAACCTACTGTGGCTGATGTGATTTCTGGTTTCCATGGTAGCAGATCTAGTGCTTTTGCTTACTAAGTGAAAACTAGAACCTACAGCTGTTAGTCTTTTCTGGAAAGACTTTTCCTTATTATTTTGGGAGACAGAAATGCCATGCCTGGGCGCTGCTAGGGGGTAATCTCTTAAGTGAGTGGCGGATGGTACTGAAGGGAACAGCATCCCAGCAAATAGCCAGAAGGGGCTGTTTAAGCCCATTTTCCTAATTAAACAACAGAAAGGCTCTTTATAAGCTCCATTCAGGGAAACCAGGTTTATCTCCTGCTCACCAATAACAATGATGGTGACTGTTTGTGGCCGAATAGAGTTCCAGTGACATTATTATCTTTTCCTGAAGATGAGCTGGCGAGGTATCGGCTGGCACAGTGCCCCGTCCTGGCCAGGACTGATAACATCCTTGCAGTTGAGCCTAATTATCCCCCTGTGGTCTGCCTCCTCCTCCACCTTTGCCTTCCTGCCTCAGCCACAGTCTCTGGACATTGGTTTAGCAGATGGGTGACTGTGACCATCCACAAAAGCCACCCTTGGAGCATTCTCTGGACACAGAGTCATGAAGTGTTTTGCCTACAGAGCTTTCTTCTTCTTTTTCTTTTTAACTACACCTTTTAAAAAGCACGAAAGAGAGCCGGGGATTTAGCTCAGTGTTTCCACTGCCTGCCTTGCAAGCACAAGGACTGGAGTTCGATCACCGGTACCAAAAAAAAACCAGTAAAAAGCATGAAAGAAAACTTTCAGGAATACTGCATATTGTAAAAGAGTAGCAAATAAACTTGCATACTCTATAGGGAAACAATACTAAAACCCAGCTGGTTTTTCTAGAATTCATTATTCTAGGCCATTATTACAGGGATCTGTGCAGTAGGTCTGTGTTGGTTGTCACTTGAGTACTACAAATTACAATTTGGGGGCCGTCTTTTTACTCAAGTTTAAATTAAAAGAATGGATTCTTGCACAGAAGAGGAACCAGGCCTCCCTCCATTCAGGGGATGTTTGTTGAAGACAGACCCTGGTTTTCCTTTGGGAGCAGCCAAGATGGGACGGATGCCCAGGACAGTGGGCAGCAGATTCTGGGGTGATGAAGGCGTTTCCTAGTTAGGTCATCCCTGCATGATCTGACCCTGTTCAGGGCTTGTGGTTAATGGTGTTTACACAGATGAACTCAGACTCAGCTTTCAGTCTGTCTAGGTCTCGCAGGGGAGCAGGCTGCCCGGAACTCACAGGGAGCCTGGAGCAGGGGGCACAGTGTTGGTGGGGACAGAGGCCATAGGTGACCCTGGATCCACACCCAGAGACGAGAAGGTCCCCAGTGCTGCGTTCTGGCCGGGAAGGAATGGGGACAGCACTAACATGCTGCAAATTCACTGTACAGTGAATTAAGTAGCGTCCAAAGAGCATAGGAAGGGGAAATGGGCGATGCAAAGACTGTCCCTCAACCTCCAGGCCTCCTCGTTTCCAAGATGAGAGCCTCTGAACCACAGTTTTGCTGCCAACTTGCTTTGTGACCTTGAACAGTGATCTTGCTCCCTTTCCCATCAGCCCTTGGGTCCCTGGTGGAGATATCACTGTGCCCCACAGGGCCATCCGGCAGGGCGCTCACGTCTCCCATGCTTCTGTCTTCCAGGAATAGAGCTGTGTCCTCCTGGGAAACGGTTCATGATCACGATGGTGGCGAGCTTTGTGGCCATGGCAGGCCAGTTCCTCATGCCTGGGCTGGCCGCCCTGTGCCGGGACTGGCAGGTGCTGCAGGCCCTCATCATCTGCCCCTTCCTCCTCATGCTGCTCTACTGGTCGTGAGTATCCCCACGTGCTGCTGTCCCTTGCTTGCTTCCGATTGTGTGGTTGCCTGTGGAGCTTCCTCTCTCTGTCTCCCTCTCTCTCCCACTGTAACCATTTGTGCTGTTGAAACATACACCAAAGTAGACAGAAGCGTGGAAGCACCCTATGTGCCCTTCACCAGCTGCAGTAATCTGTCCGAGTCCATCTGGCTTCACACCTCCTGGCTCTGCCCACCCCAAGGAAATACTTTAACAGGAAATTATATGAATGATTTGGTTGGAGATTAGGAAATGTTGAAGGATGTAGAGATGTTGAAGGTATGATTCAGAAAAGCTTCCTGTCACCTCTGGATGAGGGCTGGACACACATCAGCCCATTGACCAAATCCAGCCTGCCTTTGCCTTCTGCTAATAACGTTTTATTGGTAAGCAGACAATGGAACCACCGAGCTAAATCCCCAGCCCTAATATAGTTTTACTGGAAGGTGTTTACATGTGCACTGCCTATGTCTGCTTTTGCACTACAGTGGTAGAGCTAAGTAGATGCAACAGGGGTAGCATAGTGGAACCCTCGAGGGTTGGTCTGCTCCTGCTGAAGGTGAGACCTGTGTGACTTTCAGAGTCCTAACATGTTTTTGACTTGCTGACTTTGGGAGGAACAGGGACAGCTAAACACATGGGTCCAGGGGTAGGACCTGGGCAGCTGGATTCTTTACAGTTTGGCCAGGGGACTACTGTTCAGCCAAGATTGAAAACCACCGCTCTGAGGATAGATGTTTTATAAGTAGTTCCTTTCTTTTCTTCCCTCCACACCCTTCCAGGTGGTGCCCTGCTTCCCCATGGGCCATGTTCCCTGGTGTTGGGAGTACACACCACAATACTGCTGTCACTTAGTCACTGAGAGAACCCAGGCACCTGGCGCACACAGAGCCTTGTGTCCTGGCTGTGTTACCTGTGGCTTAGCATCATGTGACCCAGCTTCCTTTCAGGGTGCGTAGGGGCGAAGGCGCTCGGTGCAGCCCCAGGGCCTGGTGCTCCTCAGCAGTGCTTCTTTTCCGGGTGTTGTGAGAACTCGGGGCCAGCAGGGAGCAGCAGTAACCAGGAAGCTTGGAGTGGGGGTGCCTTCCAGGACGCAGCTTTCACCACAGCTGCCAAAACCATGCTCCACCAGGCCTGGACTCTGGTCTGAACCCAGGCAGGGCCAGCAGGCTGGGCATCCTCCTTCTAGCCAGACCTTAAGAGGCAGAGAAGGAGGATGTTTCCAGAGCAGTGGGGAGGGAGGTGTTGCTCTTTCCTTTCATCTTCTAAAGAAGCCCGTCCTATTCCTCCCTCACTGTGTCTGTCACTGGCCTTGCACTGATGTACTGAGCCTGTGCTCACTGAGCTCTGCTCCTGCCACACGTGGCAAGTGGCTGGTCCTCGTTTCCCATCAGCCCGTGGGCAGAGAGCACTGGCCGGGCCAGGGCCTGGACCAGAGTCCAGTCCTGTGCATTGTGCTGTCCCTGCCTTCTCTGCCTCTGCCCCTCAACCCTGCCATGGCCACTACCCAGCCACCTCCTGCCAAGGCCCCTGTGCTGCTTATGGCCTGAGAGCTGGGGTGGGGGCACAGCCACCTGGCCCTGCTCCCCTATCCCCAACAGGAGGACACCCAGCTCTGGTCTGCAGGGCTGGCCAGGCAGGAAGGGGTGGGACTTTTATTTATATTTATTTCTTATCTAAATTTTACAAATATATTGAGGTTTAATGACAGTCAAGGCAAAGCATTCCTTTATTTAAACACATTACAACCTCATAAACTTCCTTTGACATGCACAAGTTTAAAATTAAAGTATGGTCACTTTTGAAGAGCCAAGGAGGGGACCTTTGCTGGAGACAGCGCCTGTGCCTGTGTGGACTGTGTCCGGGGTGCTGCACCCGAGGGCACCTTGCTGTCAGGTGGCGGCACCATCTTGAGCTCCTCTGTACCTCCCTGAGCCCTTTTGCTCACCTCTGTAAGAAGTGGATCCTAAGAGTTTCTGTGGAATAGCACGTGTGAAAGGTGTACACAGAGGAGCAGGCTGGGCAGGACTTCATAGCTGTGTGGCCTTGGACCAGTTCCGGAACCTCTCTGGTCTCCGGCCAGCGCCCTCTGCCCACGGGCTGATGAGACACGAGGACCGGCCACTTGCCATGTGCGGCAGGAGCAGAGCTCCGTGGGCAGCAGCTCTGAATCACTGTGGCCAAACATTGGGTTAGGAGAAGTCGATGAACTAATACACGAGAAGCACCAATTACTTGTGTGTTCGTGCTGGTGACACTGGCGGTGAGGCCCGGGTAGTGCTGCAGTGTGGGAGCCAGCTTCAGTCCGCAGACCGGGGAGACCTCTGTGTGAGGCGATGTCTTCCACCTTTGCCCACAGCCGGGAAGGCTCCACAAGCACTGCTGGGCACCTGCATGTTCTCCCCATCACTGCCCCACCTCCCATCTGCTGCTGTGCGGCTTGACAGGGTGCAGGGGCTTCTGGGGACAAGGACCAGCTGTCAGTGGCAAAATATTGAAAGCCGCTCACTTTCCTTCAATGAGCAAGTATTTACAGCATGCACCAGGCTGCCCAGCAGCGCTCTGGGCCTGGGAGCAGCTCTCAAGAGCAGGCATGGAACACATGTGTCAGCAGGAACCGTGAAGGCAGCTGCCGGGGGCAGGGACCTCCAAGGTGCAGGCTGTTGGGTTTGGGGCTGTGGAGACAACGACATGGAGTTTGGCCAGGAGGGACCCGGTGGTCAGGCTGGGACTGAGCAGACACAGATCCTCTACGCACACAGCTGATAAAATATCACACGTAAGGAAATATAACACTGAGTTCCACGGCAAGAAAGAGAAGTTCCTAGGGCCTGGAACAAGGATTCCAACCAGTGCTCAGGGAATGGCTCATGGTGTCTGAACCAGAGAGAAGCTGAGGATCCTGGGTTCGAACCCTTTCCTGGGGGTGGCACTGAGCTCTTGGGCCTTCCATGGTTTGGCTGTGCTCATGTGCTAGAAGCTTGGTACCCAGTATGGTGGTGCAGAAGGGTGGCAGTACCTTTGGGATGCAGGATCTATCAGGAAGTGTTAGGCTGGGGTGGGGTTGCCCTGGAAAAGACTGATGTTTGCTTCACAGCTTGAGCCAGTTCCTGGAAAGTGCAGAGTTAGGCAAGACTGACCCTAGTCTCTGGGTTCTCCCCATGCCATAGGATCTTCTCCACTATGATGCTATTTTCCATGAGCTTCTCATCAGCAGCAGAATCGATGGGGCCACCCAATCTTAGATTTTCAGCCTCCACAAGTGTGAAATAAATTATCCTGTTCTTCATCATTACACAGCCTCAGGCATTTTGTTATAGTAACAGAAAAGGAACTGTTACAGGCTTCTTATGCAGTTAGAACTGAGCTCCCTGAATAAAGCCAGTGGTTCATACAATCTGGGACAACTAGACCAGAAAGGCTCTGCTCACCCTCAGGATTCAGCCTGCAGGGGGCTGACTCCCTGCACCGTGGGCAGAAAAAGATTCACCCTGAAAAAACAGGATCCTTGACACCTACATTATATGTGATGTGTTCCAAGTTCCAGCTCCCACTAAAGCTGAGACGTGGACCTTGCAAGGTCAACACCGGAATTCACACAGCAGATTCTCACCAAAAATGACTTCACAGGCAAAATTCACAGATCTCTGGGGAAAGCACTTATGAGGGCCAGAAACTAGCTTTCACAGTCTGCATCTCAGGAACGACAGCAAACAGAGTGATCTGAGAGATGTGAGTCTGGCTATTATTTACCATGGAGCCACCACACACACACACACACACACACACACACACACGTTTTCCAGGCCCCAAATGCTGCACATGTTTGAGCAGCTTCCGAGTCCTCTGAAAATTCTATGGCAGAGCTGGACAGTTGGGAGGGGGCCCATGGGCTGTAAACCATAATAAAGTGGTTAATGTGCTTTCAGATCACCAGCACCAGGTAGGAAATTCAATAACACAGAGGGCAGAAGGGACCGCTCTGGGAAGGTGACCTTCGTGCTGAGACCTACAGCGTCACAGAGAGGAAGGCATACGAGGTTCTGAGGGGAAGGCATCCCAGGCAAAGGCTGGTGTCCACTGGCTTACTCGGAGGAGGAGGAAGAGGAGGAGGAGGAAAAGGAGGAAAGTCAGTGGCCCTAGCCAGGTGGACAAGAGGGAAGGAGATCAGAAATGCAGGTGGGGCTGTGAACAGATGGGCTCAGCCCACAGGGCTCTAGAGACAGACCAGTGGGTGTAAGCACGGAGGTCAGACTCTGGTTTGTGCTCTCAGAGGACCTGTCTGCTGAGTGGAGAACAGAGGATGCGCTGGCAAGGGCTGATGCAGAGGCAGCAGCTGTGACTCACACTGGTCTTTGTGAGAGGCCCTGGTACCTGCAGGAGAGGCTGGCAGGGCCGCCTGCAGAGGTCTGATTGGAGAGGGGCTTTGGAAGTGACCCTGGTGAGTCACCCTGTGCACCCATGTAACACATGAGAGTGAAAGAGGGGCAGTCATGGGGCTGGCTCTGTCTCTATGAGTCAGGGAGGCTCAGGGAGGCACAGGCCCAGGGCCTTGTCCTGCTGCTGGGGTCTGGAGGGTAACAGATAAGGGACAGCCCTGGAAAGGGAGAGTTTCCATGTCAGAGCTGTGGAGTGCCACTGAGAGGAGCTCAGAGACGCTGGAAGCCACACATATCCTGCCTTCGGGGCCCAGTGGGACCAGCTGCAGTGCCCTGTGGGCTGCAGAAGCCCACCCAGGACCTGAGAGGGGTGTGCTTGCTCCGTGTGGGTATCCAGGGTGCTCTGCAGCCCAGGGGAGGAGGAGGCACTCCGTGGGAAGTGGCAGGTGATGTGAGAACAAAAGAGGGGCTGTTTGGAAGGACGGCTGCTTACTGTACACACTGGAGCAAGCTGCCTTGCAGGTGGCTGCGGCCTGTGCCCGGGTGTGCTATGGGGACAGAGTCCTCCTCAGCAAGGAGCCCTTGTGTGAGGCACAG